TCACTTTTCAATACTTAAAAATTATAATTGACCAGATTAGTCCCCCGTCAACCGCCGGGACCTTCCTTTCCTGCGCAAGCTTTCTATCCTCCGCTATGGTCCCTTCCTCCTGTGACACCAACACCTCCTGGAAGTGACGCGTATGCAACACAATGGTGTTTCAAACAGTAGAAGGGACACAATCATGATATGACGGTAGATTTTTCGCTTCCCTTCCTCATCCTCCCTTCCTCTCTCCACTGCCCTCCAGCTGCCACTGCAGCACCATGTGGAATGAACGGAAGTGTGCTAAGCAGGTGTTTATATAGCCCTAAGAGTGTTATCACAACTATCCTGCTACAAAACATTGATATCTCAAATCCTGTAAGCTACCCGATTTGTTAGCGGTTTGTTTATCCCATGAGCTTCCTTCTCACTCACTTCATTTTGCGGACGGACACACATACATACATACACACACACACACACACATACAGATACACAAACCGACACACAAAGTTAGCGCTTTATATAATAGAAGGATATTTAAACTTTCAAAACAAAAACTCAAACAGGCATTTAAATTTTAAAAATTACTAAATTTATTAGTACAAAACTCTTTTGTAAAGTCTACATTTCTGTTTGAATCAAGAGATTCAGAATAGCGATGGCGGTCTGTCGGCGCTCGACAATTCGATGGCAGATATCTCAGCGTCAAATGGCGTCACGACGGTTTCTGCCACGATCGGTGGAAAACGTTATACGGCCACTTTTCCAGGAGAGAACAACTCGATCGCTACAGAAACGAGTATCGAAAATGTCAATGGGCAATCTACAGAAGTATTCACTATTACTGTGAATGATGAAACCTACACCTATAAGACGGCCGACGGTCGCACGACTGTCACCAATGGGCAGGGAGAGCTCGTCAGCGACGGTGGTCCTTTTCATGTCACATCGATTTGAAGGAAATGAAAGCTTGTAATGGAACACTATAAGTGACAACCTGCAACTGATTGAAATCACCGCTTTGTCATGTCTTGAACCAAAATATTGTTAACCGGTAATAAACGTATCTGCTTGACCTATGGCCACCATGAACTTGACGAACTACCT